CAAACTTTTGACTTTTACAATTCACAAGTAACTTTTCAAGTCATGCAACTAGGTAATATTCATTCATTTTTCAAGGAAAATGTTCAGTTCACTCTGTTTGAACAATTACAAGTATTAACTCTGTAAACAAAAGTGATTAAAAGAAAGTATCTCAGTTGAGGAATTCTAATATTAGTCTGATAGATGGTGGTATGTTTGCTCTTGTTAATCTCTGTATTATTGTATCTGATCTATTGCAATCTACAATAAATAAGCATCTTAGACTTCAATTTTCCTGCAGAAAAAAAACCACTTTTTTTTTTTTTTTTTAGTTGAGGTTATCTCAGCCTAAAAATACTCAGGGTTTTCCTTGTTTTATCTGGTTATGGGCAATCCCCATAGAAGTTTGCCTTGATTATTTGCATGGGAATGAAAACTGGAACATCTTATCATACAGAAATCATACCCTGAGAAACTACATCATGCTTGCCTGTTGAATAAAGCTGAAAAGTACTGTTCTTTCTCCTTTGGCAATTTCAGAAGAGTTCCTGACATCCAAACAGCTGTCCAGCTGCCACAGGGCAGAATCATTTAAAACCTATCAGCACTAGGCCAAGTTTCAGTTATCTCAGAAAACATTTCACATACTGTCACAAGTTATGTTATGGCTTCCTTCACTATGTGTTTGATAAATTTTAATTTGTAAATGGGCAATTTTAATACTACTTTCACTTTATTCTTTCTCTGAAAGAGCATGTAATTGGTAATGCTGGGATGTGTGGTATGCTAACAACATATTTGTTATTTTGCCATTATCCTCCCCAGCCAATATATTTGAGAATGATTACAAATTTCTATAACAGCCTCCTACATAGTATGGAGTTTCCTGGGAAGTTGGTAAGGCTAAAGCTTACAGAAACTTACAGCTTCTTCAAAGATGAATAGTAAAACAGTTATTTTGAAGTTTGGTTGTACTGTCTGCCTTTCTTATCTCTCACAGTGGAAAAAGCCCCTGATACTCTATGGGGATTCTCTTCAAAGAAAGTGGAACATGATCCACACATGAAATTGTAGCCGTCATTGAATTATTAAAAGTCTGTGGCTTTCTGGCAGCAGGGTCAGAAATCTTCAGTCCTACTCCATATTTTACCTTTCTAGGCTTTCTGTCTCTTACTACAAAATCTGCAGCTGACAAATCTTAGTATAGTCTCTGAAAGGACTCCTGAGCACTGTTCCTGTTTTCTTTGATTGCTTTGGAGATGTTGTAAAAGAAGAAACGGGGACAAAATTTTAAAAATTACTAAATCAAAGTCAAAGGTAGCAATTTGAAATGAGAAACTCCTTGACTCTTTTCCCAACACCTTTCAGCATTTCCATCTTCCCTCTATAGTTTCCCACTCTGCAGAAGCAGTTAATTTCTTTAGTATCAAGAGATTGGTGTCCATTATTTCATGGGAACTAGTTTCTGTGCACTAGAGATAGAAGGAATTCACTTGCACTACAAGGATTTATTCTATAGCACTGCAGAGAAAGAACTGTAGAAAACATCATGCCTGTGGTTTGCCTACTTCTGGAAGAGTTCAGCTCTGCTTAAAAAGAATATACAGCATGATGAAATTAGACCCATACAAACCTTATAATTAGGAATGTTGCTCTGGAGGGGAACTTCTGAATCATGGAAATGCTACAGCCAGTCAACCAGGTCATATAAACTCTTCCAGCAGCTGATTGAGTTCTGTTTGAATCTAGCTTTTCTCTGCAATATTTTATTCCTGCTGAAAGGCTGTGCTGGGACCTTCCTGCTTAAGGCTAGAAGGATGATCCTTTATCCCAGCTGACCTCTTTTGAAATTTATTTCTTGTTGATTCAGCTTGTTTTTGTGCTAAATTTTCTTTTTTTAATGGCTTCTTTTCCTTTGTTTTTTTTCTCTTTTCCCCCTGCTGCCTGACTGTTTTACAGACAGTGTACCTCTCAATCATCAAGCTGTTAGGCATCTCTCTTAGGCAAGATGTATGCTGCATCATAGAGCGTCTGCTGTGTGTTTCCCTTCTCTGTTCAAGCTGGGGAACCAGTTGCAGTGTGTCTTCCTTCTATCTCTCATTTGAGTTGCCTTCCCATGGAAACTGGGAAATGAGGGAGAAAGAGGGAAGCAAGGCCTAATGTGGCCTTGTCCTCAGGTAGAACTGGGACAAAAGGGGAAGAGCTTACAAGCTAAAGACATGAAGCATGCTTTAAGGTCCTGCAGCACAGCTACAACTTGATTTTCTCTGAACAGCTTGAATGATAAGGGGATGGTAAAAGTAGTATACAGCACCTGCTCTGTGTGGAGTTCATGTCCTTCAGACACAGAATGGATCAGCTAGATCTCACTAGTTCTTTGTAAGTAATTTTAACAATTTTTTGCATCTCTACAAAAATCTTGCCTAATAGAATCCTCATCTACAACCTGACTCTTTCACATCTGAATTATATTGGTAGTTCATCATTGTTCAGGAGCTTCCATCCATCTCAGGTTTTCTCTCTCTTTGGTTCTTGGCAATATATGCATTTATTACAATACATTTATAGCAAGAAAGCTTGACCCACATGTGTAACCTTGTGATTGGTACAAATGACATTTTCATCCCATATGTCTCCAGCTTTTAACATACTTCAATGTTTTTCCACTGACCTTCTTCTGTATTGGAACCCTTATGTTCTGAGACAACAGCAAATTTTAATACTGCAAACGTATTTTTGCATCATATTTATTAAAAAAACTAGGACTCTAACTTATTCTAAGAAAAAGTAATGAGACATTACCTATTAATTACTCTTTATCTCCAGAACTTCTAGTTTTGCTGTAATCTCCCCTTTAAGCAGTTATTCTCCTAATTTATAATCTAATACTATATTAATCTCTACTTTCTGACTTAATTATTTCTCTCTTGTGCCACATCATTAAGTATTTTTACCAATGTCCAAGTAGATTGAATCAGCTGCCTCTCCTTGGTCTTAATAATTATTTACTTTCATGTTTAGTCTTGTTTGTTCTACTTTTAATAAACTCATGTAGCATTTCTTTCCACTTCCTTCCATGTCTTTCCATCAAGGTTTGCTCTAAAAAATTGTGCACAATTGTGGTCAGACTAATGATCCTCTATTTTGTTTCTTCCTCTTTGCTGTCCTCTGGCTGTATGACCTCTTGGAAGATTTGACAATGAATTCTGTGGAGTGGACCTGCAACTTCAGAAGCTATTTCTTTTTGAGGCTTGGAAGTAACCCAGACTTTTGCAAGTTGGAATCTGTGGAGGCCTTCAGCCTCGTTCTGCTCTAACACAGTACTTGTGGTTCCTATTTTTGTTCTGTTTAGCCATTCTTCCTGTGCATCCCCACTCAATATTTCCAATATACATGAGTTAAATGACATAGAAGCACTTGGGTTTTGGTATAAACTGTAGTTGTCCTTAATCTCTATCCTACTCCACCATAATTTCAGTTCCTATCTGTATTTTATATTTATTTATTTATATTATTGAGCTAGTTATCTATATAGCTTATTTAGCAATATTCTCATTGCTACCTTTAGGAATGTCTCTGCACCATCTAATTCTGTTTGACTTCCAATAAAATTGCTAGCAGGATTATTCCCATAAGGTTTTGTCATCAGTTATTTTCAGATTTTATCTCTTAAAATGCCTGTCAAAAGAAAGAACATGGCATCAAAACAGCACTTGTTTGTTTCTGGTCAAAAAGATACCACATCAAATCACTGAGTTTAAACTTGCTGGATGTTGTGTTGGAAGTGGTAATATGTTGAGTGTTTTCCTTCCCATCCCTGAACTTTTGGAGAATTCTTTGCATTAGCTCATAGGTATTTCCAGAGTGTTTTCCAGCACTTTGTTGAGGGGATAGAGAGAAGGAAAATGTAATAAACAGAATTTATTGGAGGGGCTGAGAGGGGGCAAGGAGATGTGTTCTTTGCATATATCAATTGTGGCACAAATCCCAAACCTATAAACAATAAGGAAAAAAATTAGCCAACTTCCTTGGTACACTTTTGCTAGATTGTAGATTTTCTGGCTCACTGTATATTCAAATGATTTTCAAGGTACCTGTATACTGATTTTTAATGCAAAACCAACTAAGGAAAGGAGAAAAAACAAGGGCAGGATTTTTTCTTAAATCACAGCTAAAGCAAGTTTGACAGACTAGTCATTGTTTGAGATGGAGAGAGCAGGAGGAAGAAAGACATGATACTCATAAGGCTACTTTATCAGTTTGGGAACAAAAGTTTTACCTGCTCTCAATCCATCATGCTCTAGTTGGGGACTTTGAAGACTTTATGAAATGGCAAGGTTTTCCCAGGGTAAGAAAATTTTCTGCTCAGTTCCAGTTATCTTATTTGCATCCCTATCCAAGCTTCATAATTAACACTGAGCTAATTTTGAGGCTATGGTTCCTTGTTTTACTTCTATTACCTAAGAACAAATGGTGGTTTTGGTTGAGGTTGAGTTAACTTTCTTCACAGTAGCTGGTGTGGGGCTGTGCTTTGGATTTGTGCTGGAACCAGTGTTTGTAGTTCAGGGATGTTTTTGTTACAGCTGAACAGTGCTTATACAGAGTCAAAGCCTTTTCTGCTTCTCACACCACCCAGTAATGAGCAGGGTGGGGATGCACAAAAGGCTGGAAGGGGATGTAACCAGTACAGCTGACTTCAGCTGTCCCCAGGGATATTCCATACCTTATGGCATCAGGTGTGGCAACAGAACTGTGGGGGTAAGGTTGTCTGGAGACCACTGCTCAGGGACTGGGTGCCAGTGGTTGGTGGTGAGCAGCTGTTTTCATTCCCACCACTTGTCTGTCTTGGGTTTTATTTCTCTCTCTTTGTTATTTTCTTTTTTGTGACAATTTTGAACTATTATTTCTTATTCTATTTCAGTTTTTGAACTGTTTTTGTCACAATACATGCATTCTTTCACTTTAACCCTTCCAGTTCTCTTCCCCCCATCCCACTGGGGGAGCAGCTGTATGGTGCTCACCTGCCAGCTGGGGTTAGAACATGTCAGCCCTTGGCACAGTCCAGAGATACCTGTGAAGACACGGGAGGAAAAAGAAGTCATTCCTACCCAAAGGCCTCAGGAATGATTGAGGGATGATTTCTTGAGTAAAATGTCTAAATGCATTTTTGAGCTAGATATACACACACACAGATGTTGGTGTGGTGCATAAATTATCACAAAGGCTTTCTTTCTGCAAAAGGGCAGGTTTTAATTTACATCAATAACAGTGCTTATTTGAATATAGCATTTGGACAGATACTGTATATTTAAAATATAAAGTAAAATTGGGTCAATGCAGTCCTATAAATATAATTTACGTAGTTTAGCCATCAGAATTTGGTGTAGTTTCCTGACCTCAGAGTGATACAGCACGAAGTCTCATCTAGGTTCAGAAACTCCTATTCAAAGACTCTGATCCGTGGTAAACGCTAGTAAGAATTTAAATGAAATATAATCAGGATTTGGACACAATTTCATGGAAGTATCAGTGAGACAGAAGCTCCAATTACAGAAGCCTATATTTAATGTTGTAAGTAACTTAGAAATGTTATTCTAAAACTGAACATAAGAACCATATAGTTCAAACAAAATTATTTTCCTAGCTTATAAGGATTCCAAATTTCATGAAATTCAGGCCTATCTTATTATAGTTTTTGATCTTTCAAGAAAAAAGTGAAGAGAATGAGAATTCTTTTGCTTCCTCTTCTTGATACACTTTATCTTGCTTGGCTTTGAATTAAAACTGTGACATTCAATTAGGTGCCAAAAATGTAGTCATTGATTTGACACAGAAAGAAAAAAACATGAATAATTTCACATAGAAATACAATTTCTGCAGGATTTCAAGTCCCCACTTAATACTATAAAGCAGTCTTTTTTCTTTTGTCCCTCTACTGCAAAGATTTTGATGGGAAAATTCCCATATTATTACCTATAAATATAGGTATTAAACAGAACCAGAGGAGGGAGCCTTTAGTTGTTCTATGGACACAATGAAAATCTGTTGAGAATTACTGCAATGTGAGAAACTTTTCAATTAAAGAAAAAAGCAAGCAATCAGAGGCCTTTGTTGATTCCTAGAGCTTATAATAAAAAAGCCCTCCATCTAAGCACACTTACTGTAGTTATCTTCTTCAGTGACTCAGTGCCATGTCTCCGAGAAATCCAATCCATGAAATACTTGCAGCTGCCGCTGCAAATGCTGCCTATACTGCCAAAAACCTCTTCCTGTCTTCAGACCTGGGCCTCCCTCCTTCTTCTTCACAGCAGAGTAGTGCTGGTCCTTTTCAACTCAGGTTTGCTTTGCTTCTCCCCTCCTTTTGTCTTCCTCTCTGCCCTTTTCCTTCTTCCAGGCCTGTCCTGATCACAGCACCTGCTGCCTGCTTTATAGGGGAGCCTGGCAATGGGTGCTGTTCAAGGGACAGCAGTGAGATGGAGGCAGGGTTTCTGTCAGCCCAGACAAACATGCATGAAGGCAATCCACAGGAGGATTGTGGTCGTGTAGTGTTCACTCTGCTTTGAAGAGTGCAGACACTGTGTACTCTTCACATCCTGAAAATGATCTAATCTAAAGCTTATGAGTGGTCACTGCAGCTGTTGATTCCTCTTGGAGGCTTTACCCAGTCTCCCTATGTGCTGCTAAAAATAATATTTAAGAAAAATGTTACTTAAAATTACAAATGCTAAGGTAATTTAGAATGTATGAATGCTTTCTGCTTACTGTAGCATTCTGAATCTTCAAATTGCTACACCTATACAACTCTACATCATGTTTCTTTCTTCTTCAGCTTCCTGAGTCTGGGCACACAAAACAGTATAAAAAAACAAAGTCAGAAAAGTCTGAAATCAGATTGCCGATAGGTTTGAAATTGCTATCTCTGCATATGGCTTCAGTGGTTAAACGCTTAAAACCCCTCTGTTTCTTGTTCTGTTAACACAAACCACTCATAATTATATCTGGCCATATATAACCATGATTCACTGAGCAGCAAATGAACAGAAGCCTTCTACACGCTGGCTAAAAGAACTCCTTCAGACCTTCCTCACCACTACATGAATGACTTCCAGCAAGAATGAGCAATTAAAGCTTAAGCTAAAGGGTTAAGACACTGTGGTTCAAAGCTGTAACAACTATTATTAAGGGACTGGCTTTGAAGAAGGATTGTAATCTTTACCAGTGAAGTAACTTTTTGCCTCCATTTTGCTCTACATTCCCCACACTGATGAGTTGTTTTCATAGCAATTTGTATTTGATTGGGTGGGTATTAGCAAAGCCCTAGCATGCAGTGAAAATTTTGTGCAAAGATTCCCTCCATCTGCTCCTGAACACTTTCCATTTTCTCTTTGACAGGAAATATTTTCCAAGTTTTCTTCTTGCATGTGAGAGACACGTGATAGAAAAAGCTGCTCCCAAAACTTTCAGAGGAAGTATTCATTTAACACCTGTTCATTTTGAGATTACAGGTTACTGTTTAAGTTCTACCACATGTGGTTTTAGTTTGCTTTAGTTTATTTGTTTTAAGGGGTACATCCAAGATGTAAGTTGAAATCCAGATCTCGGATCTTTCCAGGAATTGCAGCTCAATGTTTTGCTATATTCCACTGCTGAAATGAAATACTGTTTTCCTGAGTAACATGTGAACAAAAACCCCTAAGGATTAGATATCAAATTGACAGCTTCAAGAGTATCCAGTACAACTACATTATATTTTATTTTCCTTTCTTTCATTTTTTAGCATTATATCTCAAATAATCAGGTATGAACTAGTTCTAAAATGCAAATATCTTCTACCTGCTGTAGATAATCAGGCTTCAGATAAAAATCATGGCACTTCTCATTTTTGCCCTTTGAATCTGTTATCTGATCTTCATATGCTTAAAACTGAAAATTCAGCTCCTTCCAAAGGTCCAGTTAGATGTTCTCAGTCTGCTGCAAGTGTTGCAAGCCTTTCATTGTAGGTTGATTGTGACCATTTTGCTCAGCTGGTGGCAAATATCAATTAGTGCACACTTTTCCCTAGATGATATGACTCTTGAATGTAAATGAAGAAAATAGGCATTAAAGTTTCACCCTTTCCTCTTCTGAAAACACTGTATGAACATGTTTTTGTCGCACAGGCCTGAACTGCCACTGTCTGTTTCTCAAAACTTACTAGAATTATCTTAGCACACTGTACTGCAGACAAAGCTTTTCAGCGTTCCCTTCTCACTGAAGTGTTTTCCTTCCTTGGCCCTCAGCCACAGATTAACACTCTGTAAGACAGCTGGCTCTCAAAAACGTCAAATTTAATTGAAAAAGGAAATCAGAAAATAAAGAGTTGTCTGGCATGGCTCCTCTGGGTCCCACTCTTCACAGCTTTGCAGGTTTCTCTGTTTCATTGACCCAGTCCATGTTGGAAGGCGAGGCCCTCGCTGTCCCCACTGCAGCTTCTACCTGGAGTCCCTGGGGCACAGCCATGGTGACCTCAGAGCAGCTCAGTGAGGTTCACTTCTGGCTCACAGCCTGCACAGAGCAATGACAGGCCTTTTGTCACCTCCTTCCCCTCCCTGCTTGGCTAGTAGGATGAAGAAAAGCAATAGCATGAGCTGTCACATGGCTAAGGACAATGGGCTGCCATCTGCACCTTGTTATTTCTAGGCCCAGCACTGTGCATCCCAGGAGAGGCTGGAATGGAAGGTGCAGAGCTCTGAAAGAAGACTGTGGATAACTGGGCCAGAAGTTGTCCTAATAAAGAATTAAGCAGGAAGCATTTGGTTTAGAGCCTTCTGGTTTGCTGTGTGTATCAAAGGGAACTGTGAAGAGCTGGGCGTCTGTCACGGCATGCTAGGAATCTGAGAAAGGGATGACCCCAGCTTACCACATAACTCTAGAACTGAGAGCTGGGATGTGCCAGTCCCTCTGGTCTGCAGAATTGCCTGCCTGGGTGTCTCTGAAACTGGTAGGAATGTCTAAACCACAATGCTATTCTTGTGTGAATTTACTGAAAAGCAGAACACTGAGGTTTTGGCTCAAGTTCATGCTGAGAAAAAACTGTTGAAGCAAAGCATTCTGTCTAGGAAGCAGCTGTTTATAGCTGTTGTGAATGTGCACCAGTCCCAAGGTCTATTTGATAGCATATGCTCTCAGTTTTCAAAGCTTTCCAAAGCTTTTCTTTGGTTTTGAGTCCAGCAGACTAAAGAAATATTGTATCTTACAGGAAGAAAATTTGTGGTTATAGGAACTTGGTGTTATGGAAATAGTACTGTGACAGGAGAGTGCCACCCTGCCCTGGGAGGGTCTATTCAGGTAGGCATTCATCTGGCTGCTGTATTTAGATACCAGCAGAATCCAAGTGATCCCCATTTCTGGCCTTACAGGTAGAAAACTGTTTTGATCTAGAAAGCAGCATAGTGTTGATGATTATCCATTCAGAGGGAAGATACACACAAAGTATTTCAGTATTGGGTTTTTGCCTGTGACATCTGAAAGAATTCTTACGATTTCTGTTCTGTGTTTTATCTTGGAGGGAGGTAAAATGCGGCAGAGAAACAGCTGCAGGCAAGCTAAAAACTGGAGTTCTCAGTCCAGTGCAGGTGTGCAATGAGACCTCAGTATGCATGTGTCATAGACTTTTTCCTGCCTTCACACAGTGCTACAAAATTGCAGAAGACAAATTTATAGCAGGAGCCATTATTAGAACTTTTTACTTGCCTGTTTTCTGTTGTGTATGTTGTGCAGTATAGATAAACTTCTAAAACACTAAGACTCATCCATGTGAGGATTTCATTAAAAAAAGCATTAATTTCCTTAGAGTAGATTTTTAAATATTTTTTTGCTTTCTAGCTCCATAATCAGATAGCTGTTCTCCATAAAGAGAGAGGTGAGATCACTCCTAAGTAATACAGAGATGTAGCCTAAATTTTCCTTGTTGCTTCCATGGTTTGGCTCTGTTCCAAGCAGACTCTTCTCCAGGCAGGCCTGAGGGAGAGTGAAAGATGATATTTCTGCTGAGAACCAAAACTGGAGAGGTAGGGAGAATCCTCAGCAAGTAGCCCTAGGACTTTCTCCAGTGCTGTCTATAGCAAGGAGACTTGCCTTGACAGGAAACGGGGTTGTAGGACATTTTTGGAGGATGGAAGAGTGCCACAACAGATATAAGGTGCTCATCCATGTTCTGTATTCTCCAGCTGTATGATGGAGGGCTAGGCTGCTCCCTACAAAATACCTTCTTCCTTTAGGACTGAAGGCTGTGCTGATTAGTGACTAGAATGAGAGTGGGGATAATGAAGGTCTTTTCATAACTCTTGATTTACCTTGGGCTAATTGCCTCACCTTCCTTATTCCTAAGTTTCCTAAGCTGTAAATTGTAAACAGTCATACCTGTGACTTTACAAAGCCCTTTCACTGAGTTAAGCAATAAAAACTTAGTAATATCTATGAGACTGGTCTAGGACTGCCATCCTGTAGATGGATAGCATTTCCCCCAAGCATGCCAAACAGCTGCAGCCAATAATGGATTGCTTTTTTTTTTTTTGTTCACTTCCATGTGTAACATTTCTTCATCTTGCAATGTTCACTTTTGCTTAGCTCTGAATGTTTTAGCCTCTGTAGGTGCTGTTTGGTCTCCTCTGACTCAAGAGTGGTACTGCTGAGTGTTGCTAGGAAAATCAGCTTCTGCTTTTTATTTTTGTCACAACAATTTAAGGCAGTTGATCTCCTTTTCTGAGAACAGGAATCAGACTGCACCAGCACCGCTTTTTTTTTTTTTTAATACATGTTTTCATAGATGGAGAGAACCTGGTGCAGACCCCCAGGCAGTTGTCATTCATGGAAATCTTCTATTTTTCAATCACTTCTAAGAAATTCTGTATTACCATCAAAGCAAACAATTCAGCCAGCATTCAGCCTTAGTCTCCTCATACTGGGACGCAGTTTGAGTTTACATTAACAAAATTAGGATCACTTTTACAGAGCTTTGTTGGAAAGGTAAAATAATCATCCATCTCAAAGTAGAATTAGATAGACGTTGGAAAGCAGCAAAAAAATGTTATAAAAGATAAGTAAAGTCAGGATCCTGCAGAATACAATGTATTTTCAAAGTTATACTGAAGGGAATTTACTGCCTACAAAAAATTTTCAGTTTGAATGATTTCATATAGGTCATGAGAACAGTCTTCAGATATTTATAGAGAAAAACCAGTATGCAGTCTTCACAGATTGGGGGAATAACTGAATAGAATTAATTTAAATGACCTACCTCCAAAATTCTTTAAATGTTAAGTACCCTATAATTAATTTGCAGTCCATCTCAACATTGAGTTTGTAAGGAATCTGTGATTGATTCTAAATGGATGAAAGTGGTTACCTGAAAGTAGTAATTGTTTCCTAATGAGGAATGCAGCTGACTGAGACAGTGGGGATCTCCCTGGTGTTAACCAGGTGACAGCTGCAGAAACAGATGCAGTTTCAAGGTGTCATT